TTTGTTGTCAGGTCATGTATATTTTCTTTTATTATTTTCAGAATTTAAATTTATGAGTATATCTCATTAATACTATATATTAAAAAAATAAATTAGTATTTCTATGTGTTTTCTGGCTTTTCAGTTTTCAAACCATTCTCCCACAAAAATTACTGTAGTCACCTTAACTGTTTAAGAGGTTTTCTGAATAATGTATCCAGAAATAGAACTACAGAGCTGTAGAGTATGTGCATTTTTGATTTGACATAATTTGCCAAATTTCCCTATGTGAAGATTTGAATTTCTGAGAAGCTTGTAAATATTTGTATTTTCCCATATTCCAACTGCAATATGAAATGTGATGCTTATTTATTTATTTGTTTGTTTGTTTGTTTTTTGAGACCCGGTTTCTCTGTAGCTTTGGAGCCTGTCGTAGAACTAGCTCTTGTAGACCAGGTTGGCCTTGAACAAACAGAGATCTGCCTGTCTCTGTTGGGATTAATGGCATGCACCACCATTGCACAGCCCCTTGTGATGCTTCTTTAGATAAAATCAACATCTCCCTGCTTCATTAACATTTTCCTTGCTAACCTCATAGGGCTGTCTTCTGGAGTCTTGTTCTTCAAATGGAGTATTCCAGGAAGAAAAGAAAGAATGCCTGTCACAAAGGTCATTTTGGTCTACTTATAAGCAGAGTCTGTAGAGTGGCCCTGTCCTATTGATGCTTCTGTTCATACCGATATTTCCAATGTGGTGACAGATTAGATATGACGGTAAATGCGAATCACCAATTTGACAGGTGGAATCACCTGGAAGATGGGCCTCTGGGCGTGGCTGAGGGCGATTGTCTTTATAATGCGAAGAGAGGTGGGGCAGTCCACTCACTGTGGGTGGCACCTTCCCTAAGTGGGAAACCAGGGCTGTAGAAAGTGGAGAAAGAGAGCTGAGCCCTAGAGTTACCTCTCTCTGCTTCTTAAGAAATATTTTGAAAATCTCTCTCTATGGATGTTTTGCCTACCTGCATATCTGTGCACAATGTGAGTGACTGGTACCCCTGCAGGCCAGAAAAGAACACTGGACCCCCAGAAACTAGAATTACAAGCAGGTGTGAGCTGCTACCAAAACCAGTTCTTCTGGAAGAGCATCCAGTGTTCTTAACCACTGAGTCATCTCCATCCCCTCTTGCTGCTTCTTGACAACAGATGCAATGTTACCAACTACCTCTGACTCCTGCCATTATGACTTCCCTGCCATGAAAGACATGGAACCATGACTTGAAATAAATTCCTTCTCTCTTAACTTGTTTTGGTTGGTTGGAGATGTTTGTTTATGTTTTTAGATTGGCTATCACTCACTATGTAGACAGGGCTGATCTTGAACTCACAGACACACCTGCTTCTGCCTTCAGAGCACTCAGATATAAGGGGTGTACAATAATGCCCAGCTCTTGTCCGAGTATTTTATTATACCAATAGGAAAAGAAACAAATGCATTGAGCCACCCATGAAGTGTGAACATGAGACTGAAGAACTGAATCTTGGAATTGTATTCACACATTGTTTATGGTTGTCATGTCTGGAAACACAGCCGTAGATGAACGATTCAAACACCAGTTCAATCATTTGATATTTGACCTGTTGCAAGTCACTGAATCAGTGCATTACAAAACGGAGAATTTTACAAGTTGCTGTATTAAGTTAAGATGAAATAAAAGGCTTGGAAGAGTTTAAAAGGGTGCCTGGCAGCACTCTATAAATGCTTGTTCTTGTTTTACTAGCAGGAGTACATGTTTTTATGTATTGTTGGCTATTTCCATTTCTGTTGTGTTTCTTTGTATAAAACATTTTTCTATTTCACTATCTGGTCATTTAAAAAAAACTCTTAGGTTCATTTCAAATGAAATGAATCATGAGGAAGACTGAAGTAAAATACAGCATATTCTAGAATCCCAAAGAGAACAAACAAAAATTAACATGCACTAAAAGTGTAGATAAACACACTTAATAAGGAAACATTTCAAGTGTCTCTAATAAGATTTGCAAAAGAAGAAAATATGAAGGAATAAAAAATGAAGTTTTCTAGGATTGAAAACAGTATTTTGGAAGCTAGAGTTATACTTTATTGGTGTCCTGGGTACAATTTCCTGGACTGAAAGAAAATGAAATAAAAAAAAAACTAGAAACAAAATCTAAGATATTTCTTTAGAGAGACATACAAATGGTCAAAAAGTATATGAAAAGAATATTCAGCATAATGAATCACCAGGGAAATTCAGATCAAGGCCACCGTGAGATATTGCCTAGTGTGATTACTGCTATATAGCTACAATCACAGTGATGTGGACATCCTGAGCACTTGGTGGTGCTGTGTAATAATTCTCTTCTACACTGTAAAGATTTGTTACTTGAATTGGTTTAATAAAACCCTGATTGGCCAGGAAGTATAGGTGGGGTGACCAAACATAGGATGATGGGAAGAAGAAGGGTGGGGTCATGAGTAGCCAGCCAGATGCAGAGAGAACAGGAGATGAATGTGCCATGGTAACAAAAGTACCACCAGGTGGCAGAGAGTAAATAAGTAACATGGGTTAACTTATAATGTGAAGTTAGCTAGTAATAAGCCTGAGCTATTGACGAAACATGTATAAGTAGTATTAAGTCCCTGATTTGATTATTTGGGAAGTGGCCTCCAGGTATTTTGGAACAGAAGGACATAGAGAAATATCTGATTACATGGTGGTTAACTAATCTAGCCAAAACAACTAGTCCCAGATTCAGTAAAAAATTTTGTCTCTAAAAATAATGATGGAAAACAACAGAGGAAGATGTCTGTGCCTGGCTTCCATGTGTATATGCATAGGTGAGCATTCCACACATAGGTGCAGGTATGGAACACACACACACACACACACACACACACACACAATTGAAAAAAAAACAAATTGAGAAATAAATGCAATTTGTAAAGAAAGGGCCGAGAGATGGTTCAAGTCATTTTAGGCTAGGCTCCAGACCAAAAAATGTAAAATTAGAAAAGAAAAAAAAACATATCTCAGGATAAAGGTATGCCTTGCATATGAAGCAGGAAAAATTGGTATAAGGCCACATCTAGATACTTCATAGTTATCATGGTTTAGACTTGAAATGCTTCTCATAGTATCATGGTTTGAATGGCTGTTTCCCCACTGCTGGTGCTATTTTGGCCTGGTTGGTTGAAGAATGTCACTAAAGGCAAGCTTTTGGCATTTATATACACCCTCATTCTCGTTCTCTTGTGAACTCTCCACTTCCTGATTGTTGTGATGTGCACTGACTCAGCCACACACTTTCACTGTCATGACCTGAGCTGGACCACTCTGGCTTCCCCATCATTATGAACTGGATGGACCACATTGGCTTCCCCATCATTACGAATGGAGATAGACAACACTGGCTTCACCATCATTATGAATTGAGATGGACCACTTGACTTACCCATCATTATGAACTGATACCTTCTTAAGACACAAGCCAAAAATAAAATCTTTCCTCATTAAGAAGTTTTTGTCAGCTAATTTGATCAAAGAGACACATAAGTAACTAATACTATAAGTGGGGGAACGAGAGAAAATCCAAAATCTACCAACCCCATTGATTTTTGCTTCATAAGTCTTTACTGGCTTATTTTTTTTCCTTGATGAAAGATATGTTTGATAATTATTTGAGAGAGATGATTCTGTGGCTAAAGCAGTTGCTGAATAGGAGTGAGGACTGGAGGTATGGAACCTTAAAAGCTACATAAATGTTGGGTGGGTATGGATGCCCACTTGTGATTCCATCCTTGGAATGTGGAAGCAATGGGTTCCCACAGCAAGATGGTCATATGTGCAAACTCTATGTTTGACCAAGAGAAGAGACCTCCTCAATGAATCATATGCAAGAGCAATTGAGGATTCATGGTATCAAATTTCAGTCTCCACAAAATACATATAGACAGATTCTTACAACAAGCACACACACATGAAAAATTAGAGAAAGAATATTTTTGTATAGATTCTTAAGTAGGAAGTTTTCTTGAATGACAGTCTAGCAGAATATTAAGTTCTAAAAGGATCATTCCTCCCTTATCACTACAGAGTTGCTAGATCTTGGGGCCTTGAGTAGAGCTCATCAAAAGTCCCTTGTCAGTGAAAATTTCATTCATTAAAGGTTATATATATCAAAATTATAAGCAATTTAAAAAATATTTTTAATGTATCAAAATAGTAACAAAGGATGACTAAGTGAAATCCAAAGACATACGACCTTTGTGAAGAAACTGACAAAGCATCCTCAGAAAGATCTGTGTGCCCTCACACACAGTCTGGGTCTGTGGATATTCCTATATTTACATATGACAATAGGAACCCTTCTGTATGCATTATAAAGGTATATGTGATTGGATATCTCAGCATTCCCTTGAATAAGATGTGGCAAACTTGTCTTTTAATTAGGATGGAGCCAGGAAAGGCCAAAAATAAGGCAGTTTTGATGAACAGTGAGAGGGAAGTCTTGTCCTCCCTGGTAAACATATGGAAAATCATATAATTGAGAGAGAGTGACGTTGGTAAGAGGCTAGAATAGGAAACGCGCAGACCGGAGTAAGCAACTCCTGTTCACTTATGGTCTGATCTAGCTGTTAGCTTCCTTTCTCTGTTTAAAAGTGAGCTTTGCAAGTTCACTCAAAGGCAACTATAGTACTGCTTTTCTTTGCCCGTGTCTTTTTTAAATGCTGACTTTCCCATCACAGCTCCTTCCCTCCAATTTAGAATCAGGTCTTAGTGTTTGGGGGGACCGGTCTGCAGCAGTATGGGAAATGCTCCAATGGTGGCTAACCTTTCACCTTTTGTAGGCCGCACTGGGCAAAGATTGTCACAGGCTGCACACTGTAGATGCAGTACAGTGAGTTGCTTCCTTCCTGGTTTGGGATGATCCTGTAGGGGTGATCAATGAACTCAGTGGAGCAGCCTTCATTTGTTTTTGTTGGTATTTTTTCCTTTTTAGATACCAAGAAAGCCCCACCAGTGAGTTCTGATCCTCTGCCTTAGATGTTCAGCCTCCAGCGCCCATTAGAAACTGCATCTTCAGCCACCAACTGCCACTTTCTAACAAAAGGCCAACAAGCCAGAAGGGGTCAGCTCTATTCGTTGTTGCCTTGGCCTCTTGTTCTTCAGCAGCCTTTGTGAAGTGTCTGAATCACTGGGGCAAAAAGAGATTAAAAACCCGAGTCGATGGAGCCATTTTGAGCAGCACTCTTTGAGGTTGCCATAAACTCTCTTTGGAGTTCCCTCCCAGGGAAATGAGAGAGCATGACTTCATATCTATGCTATAAAAACTGTAAAAAAAAAAAAAAAAAAAAAACAAAACCACAAAAAAAAACCCCCAAAAACATCTAATTTGAGTCAACAAAACAAAACAAAACAACAAAAAACCAAACCTGGAGAGTCTGTTGAATTCTAGGCAAACTCAGTAAGTCCTTCTCTTGGCATCTTTGCATATGAAAGTGAGCTATGGAAATAAAGTGTTCTTGTACATATATATATGTGTGCCTCCCCCCCCCCCAGTTCCTGCCTGCCTCATAAAACCAAACACTCAGCCGGGCGGTGGTGGCGCACGCCTTTAATCCCAGCACTCGGGAGGCAGAGGCAGGCGGATCTCTGTGAGTTCAAGACCAGCCTGGTCTACAAGAGCTAGTTCCAGGACAGGCTCCAAAACCACAGAGAAACCCTGTCTCGAAAAACCAAAAAAAAAAAAAAAAAAAAAAAAAAAAAAACAAGCACCCATTCTCCTGTAGAGAAACTGCCGGCGGTGTTCTCTAAGTGCTGCAGGACCCTGACATGCTTCTCGTTTGGAGGCTTGTGATAACGTTGTCTTTCAGAATTCCACCAGCAAATTTTGCATGTGGGAAGTCCCGCTCCAAACCCGCTTACAAACTGTTAAATTTGATAGAACCCGTAAACTCTCCAATAGTATAGCCAGCAGCTTTCTCTACTCCTCAGAGCAAACTCCACTGCACGATGGGGTTTCCTTCTGTGTGGCTGTGTGTGTGGTACCTGTGTGTGCAGATGTGCATGTGGGAGCCAGAGATGGTCAGCATGTGTCTTGCTCTATCACTCTCCAATCATCATCACCATCATCGTCATTATTATTATTATGATTGTTGTTGTTGTTATTGACAGGGTTTTTCACTAAACCTGAAGCTCACTGTTTCAGCTGGACTAGCTGGCCATTGAGATCTGGGGATCCATGTGACCTCATCCACCTCAGGTGTAAAATAGACATGCACCTCCCTGCCTGGCTTTTACATGGGTGCTGGGAATCTGAACTCAGGTTCTCATGCTTGTGTGGCAAGCACTTTACTCTCTGTTGGGGTTCCACCTTGGGGTGACATCTGTCAGGGTCCAGTCTTGACCAGTTTGTACGTTCCAGGGTAGGGGGTGTGTGGATTAGAAACGTTAGGTAAAAAAAAGCAGAGATACAAAAGAAAGAGAAAGAGACATAGAATAGAGGCAGGAGGGCAACCCAGTGAATACTGAATTCACCAGCGTTTATTTTCCATTTGCCTCACACACTCCAACCAAAAGGTGGGGGGGGGGCGGGGAGAGAGGAAGAAGGCAAAGGATTTTAAAAAGAACAAACAGAGTAATTAGCATCAAGTAACTATTTTCTGAGTTAAGTATTTTGTTGTTTAAGCAGGACTTGCAGCAACCACGCCCTAGGCCAAACATCCTGTAGTAGACACACCCTGGGTCAAATCTCCTGTCTTAATCTTGAAGGAGCAAGAATAGGCCTGAATTCTCTGACCTTTGGTCAAGGTGGAACACATTCACGCCCAGGGGCTCTGACAACTCACTGAACTATTTCTCCAGTCTCGATTTGTTTTAATCTTCTCATCTGCCAAATGGTTTTAATAATTATGTCACAGGTTTCTGTGTTACATGACAATTATATATTTAATATAAAGACCAACAAAGTAGCACTGAGAGGAGAGGTGACAGCTGGGTAATTCTCTCTGGTTAGCTGATTTTCTCCCTCACACCAGCCTTGAAACGATGGAATTTTTACAACGCTGAGGCAGAAATGATTATTATAAACTGTAAAATATGGTTCATCAATAGATTGCCATTGCTACAAGTATCTATCTGGAAATGGCAAAAGATGCTGGGGGTCTCTAAACCCAATGTATTTTGACCTGTATTGGACTGTGGTTTCTTCCTATAAAAACCTCTTGAAGATGTCTAATGCCCATGTGCAAGCATCTCAGGCAGACCACATCTCCACACTGCCAAGGAGCTTACTTCAAGGGACGTCACGAATTGAAGTCAGGCTATAAAGATCAACTGAACACACTGTGGGCTTGAACCTGAAAGACCTGGATAAATCTAGTCCCCCCCCCCCCACCCCCCAAGCAGGAAGAGAAGAATCAAAAATCTAGGATTAGCCAGTTCAGTGACTGTCTTTCAGGAACTAGCTGAAGATAAAGTTAGATTGTAATCTTGAGAATAATCTTGAAACAGGGAGTTTCCTCTTGTGATTTTAGGAACTAGCTGATTATGACCTTGAGTGATCTTGAGAAGCAGGGATTTGTCCCCTTGTGACTTTCTGTGACAGCCTCCCTGCCCCTTTCGGTATTGGACTGTGGTTTCTTCCTATAAAAACCCCTTCTCCAGGCCACTTGGGGTCGAACTCTTCTCCTGCAGTGGTTATGAGTCTCGGCCCCAGTACTCTGGTTCCCGTCTCATCTCATTAAAGCCTCATGTGATTGCAGCAAGGATGGTCTCTTGTGAGTTACTGGGGGGGTCGTGTTATCCCGAGACTTGAGTGAGAGTCTCCCCACCACTGGGGGTCTTTCAAACCCACAGTGGATTTCTGAGAGCCAGTAGATTTATTGATTCCATCTGACGCATGATCTAACAATGCAAACCCCCCAGGAAAAATCAGGAGAATTGGAGTCAGCCTACAGGAGCTTCGTCATAGGGGTACAGAGGGAGCTCTGGGTGAGCCAAGGATACTTCATGTTGCTAGGAGACAAGCATTTCCCTGTCACAGTGAAGGATGCTAACAGAGATGGGACATAGGCATAGCAGCTTAGTATTTAGGAGTTTGGTCCCTGACCTAGGCTAAGTGAACAGCCTCAGTTTTCTTACCTGTCCACTGGATTTTAATAACAGTGCCTGCCCACATGGAGTTGTTATAAGAATGAAACATTTCAATAAACATTATCATATTTCAAGGGCTTAGCACAGGGTCTAGCCTCTAGTCTGAACACGGTGTCTCAGTTTGCCAATGAAATAACTGGAGTACCTGGCCTGACCCCCAGAAGTCCACAAGTTTGCAAATCCGTGTAAAGCTTTCAGCCTGTGATGGCAAAGGGAGCTTTTTCTTTCCTCTTCACATCTTCGGAACAGATGGGTTTAATTTCTTCCACTGCTAAGATTGTGCGACTATTTCTAGATACATATGAAAACAGCCAACTACAGAATGGCCTTAAATTCATGTTGCTTGCTCAGTGATTTATGCAAGCTAAATGCTTGTAGATGGAAGAGAAAGCGAATTTAGATTAAACTCCGTATTGTCAAGAAGCAGGGAGTCCTTCCTGTATGTTTGGTCCTGTGTGATGAGCAGGAAGCCAGTCCATCTGGGGAGGGGAATTACCTCCAGAGCAGGCCCGGGGGCACTGCTGAACACATTACCTTTTCCAATTAGGAACCGTAAAAGAACTTGTATTTTTGGATTCTCTGATTTAAAATGTTTCACCCTCGATACTGAATGTAATTTGGCATAAGCTGAATGGGGCGAGCTACCTTGTCTGCCTAAGTTGCTCTCCCCAAAGCATTGATTTGAAACAGCACCTACAGAGGAAGAGAAAATAAATCTGTCATGTATGTGTGAGCCGTGTGGCTCAGAGAGAGCGTAACTAATACACATAATTGTCAGCCAAAGCAACAGAACTCTTCTAAGGGCTGCTCACCAGCTCCGAATTACACTCTGTCCAAACAGAGAAAATTAAATTAGACTCTTGATAAATTAAACCTCGTCCACTAGCAAGATTGCTCTGCCCTAAAGGAAGTTTTGCTTTGAGGAACTAAGCAACTTCAATAATATGACTGCTGGATCCAGCACCAAACTTATACAGCTACCCAGAAAGAGCATCTTCTGCTCTCCCCTGCTCCTTCCTCACTCAGAGTGAAACTGAAACCAGCGGGCAGGTTTGTATCATGGGTGGTAGTAGACCTGGCTTTGCAGAGGGTATTGGTGTGCCCATCAATTCAGAACAGTGTTTTAGAATTTATCTAATGAACTTCCAGGAGCTCACATGGGTGGTGTGATAATGGGGAACGTACTCAGTGATTGTCGGGCTGGAAAATGGCTCCACCACTGCTCTTCATATGAAATGCCCTCACTGGAACCCTCTTCTGGGCTAGGCTAGGGCAGAGGTGGGCAAACGTTCTGTGTAACGGGAAAGACAGTACCTAGTTCAGGCATTCAGGCCTGGGTGGGGTGGAGGGCTTTTGGTTCTTGTTGCGGCTATTGGAACTGCCACTGTAGCACATGAAGACCGCCATCCACACCATGTAAATGAATGGTCAATGGCTATATCCCCCCCCCCATTAAAGTATTTAAAGAAGCAGCCTGCCATGACTTGTGTGCGTAAGAAGTTAGTAGAGCAACAATGCGAAGTCAATGAAAGAATGCCTGCTTCTTTAGAAAATAACAAAGGAGAAATATCGGATGTCATTTTTTAGAAGCATGGCTGACATGATCGTGAGAACACACACACTAGTACACTTGGAGACCCCAGATTTCTAAAACTGCTGAAGACAGACATCACCTAAGGGAGAAGAGTCAAACATGCTCATGTGTGTAGTCATTCAGGAAGTATGGCATCAAGGACCACAAGAGTCCTAAGGAATTACTTCAGTCAAGTAACAAGCCCCAGCAAACATTCAAGGTAGGGAAAGCAATATAAACAACAATCATAAACAATAAAATGTAAAATTTAGAACGTATATGCATTCAGATAAGTGACAGATTATAGTATCTGCTAAAATTCATTTTATAAAAGAATATGCATCCTGTAAGAGAGAGAATTACAATACCGTGAATAAAAGCAACTATAGGACACAGTTTCCGTCAAATCATTCATCAGCCTCTGAGCTCTTACAATCTGCCCTCCAGACACAAAAGGACTGAGTCACATGTGAATTACCAGAGACTGTGGCAGCAGGCACGGGGCACATGTGAACTCCCAGACATTGTGGCAGCATGAATATGTAGTGGCATTTCATTTGTGCTTTAATAAATAAAGCTTGCCTGAAGATCAGAGAGTAAAACAGCTCCACTGGTCAGCCTTACACCAGGTAAGTTAGCAGGCAGTGGTAACACACACCTTTAATACCAGTGGTCACACTGGTTGCCAGAAAAACTGGGCAGTACCTGCCTTTAATCCTAGCTCTAGAGAGGATTATAAAATGGGAGGAAACAGCTCTCAG